GCGTGGGAAATTGCAGAATCCAACCTTCTAGTTGTGGTGATTGCTTTTATCAAGTATCTCATATATACATAGCTAGTCAATAATCGTATTGGCATGTATTTTCCATTTTCAAATTGTTCGCATTGAGCGAAATAGAGAATAGTTAATTTGTTGTGATGAAAAACAGTGGAAAGCGGCATTATTGGCATTTATAATGGGCCATGAAATTGTCGAACATGCAATTGCACTTTTTATAGCTGCATAAACACATTTCAAGCATGAATAAATGAGTAACTGAGTGAATGAGCGAATGACTTATTGAATGCACTTTGCAAAGCGTGTGAATTCGATTGTCAGTCACTGATTGATTGTTGCTTTAATGGCAAACAAAAAAGAAACAAATTTTAGGAAATTGTAGCAAACAGTCGAAATCAAGCTTTGTTCAGCTTTGGCTTTCATTTCGCTCATTCAGGATGTATTCTTATTAATGATCGCGGGCGTTTTCAAGCATATAAGTATATGTAGTATGTATGTATATGTATGTATGCTGAAAATCGACAATTTCCTGTTGCTTACGCCCACCGAGCGCCAGCCGTGTGGCTCGATATTAAAACATTCTCGCCAGTCGCGACCTGCGAAATAATCTCAGAGGCAGACACACGGCACGGCCAATTGTTTGTCGTGGCGTTACGTCAAACTTTTCAGTTGATTACCAAGCGGTTCTTTGTGTCGCACTTTAATTGGAATGACTTTCATTAGAAATGCATTGCACGGTCGCTCGCTTATTTCAAATTTGAAATTCAAATGCCGAATTTATATCTCATCTGTAGCTGTCTGGCTTGCCCGGCGTATGCGCAATGTGGGACAGTGGCGCCACCTCTTGTACTGCCGGAGTACTATTATCATGCTGTGTCGCTTAAGTCTTTAACCAATAGATGGCGCATAAAGAAAAATTGACTGAAATACAAAATTTAAAGAAAGCGGAAATAAAATACTAGCTTCTTTGCACTGATTTTTAAAATGATCTGAATTAACATCTGCAATTAACATCACTTTCAATGAAATCAAATCTGGCGACTGCTATATTAATAGCCTATTCGATTTGATTCTCAGCTCGACCAAATGAGAGAAGGTGTTTCTTAGCTTATAGGTATATAGATCTATACACAAGTCTAGGGTAGTTAAAATATATATACATATATATTAATTAAATTTGTGAACTAAGCAAATGAACTCATGAACCAAAAATAGAAGAAAAAACCTTATTATTTTCCCCAAATACAGATTTTAAGAAACAAAGTTGTTATACTTGAAAAACAATAAATACAAATTATTTCTAATAAATCAATTCGTCTGGATTTCAATCTTCGAAAGGTTTTTAGGATTATCAGAAAACTAAAGTACCAAACAAAGAAGAGGTCAGTAGCAAATTTAATTAACATTTATTACTTCTATTAATTTGTTATGCATTTAAAGACAGTTGTATTTATTTATATTTTCAGATTACATAAATAAATACTTTAACTTATGTTACATGTAAAACTTAAGTACAATTAAATAGTACACGAAAGGTGGCAACTTGTGGCAGCAAATCTTTTTATGATTGGCCTGATTGATATCCTTCACAAGAGCGAGTCCTTGGTTATTAATATATATTTGATGATCAAAAAGCGATACAAAAATATAAGGTAAAACTGCAAGTAAATTCTAAGTTTTTCGGACATTTTTTCATCATTGATGATATTCTGGCCATTTTCATCTTCTAAAAAGGACACTCGGAATGCACCAGGAAGTAGTCTGCCCGCTGAACTTTATGTGCGATGTTCAACTATTCCTGAATGTTAAAATGCCACAATTATCTGCATTATTGATTCACGCCGTTGCTGCATTTTCAGACCCAGTTTGATACTGTTTTTTATAAATTTCGGATCAATGCAAATTAACAGAGTAGCGATTAGAAATTATTCTACTTATGATTACTCTATTTTATTGTTTACATACCTATTATGCCACCCAGTAATTTGTTTACTACTCGTATATCTGGGTTTTCAGCGGACTTATCTATTAATACATTCCACAAGTCCACGCCTTTGTGTTGTTTGCAGAACCCAATGGATACAAATTTGGAATAAGACAGTAAGTTTTATACCTTATGTATAATATTAAAGGGCGCCTCCATAATCTTGAAGATCAGACACTTCCGGATAGGTGCTTTAACATATATTAATAGTTTCCTGTATGGCACAATCCTTAGAATTAATACAGAGAGAGTGTTACAAGACCGAGAATGGAATACCCCGTACCCAAACAAATTTCCGGAACTGAGTTATATGTGTCCATCGCAGAAGCAAAACTAAGAAGAAGAAGGGCTAACTTGATGAAGCAGTTAGTGCTCGAGTATAATTGTTTTGCTAATAACTTTTCTTAGAATTAACGGCAATTGATTGAAATTTGAAACAAAAGTAGAGAATTATACATTATTTGCATGTGCAAAGAATGGTTTATGAAGCTTTGTAATCGTGGCCAGTATTGAAAAAATTCTGTAGCGGGAAATCATAAAAATGAAATAATCTCGTGTTGCCAAGTTTGGTCAATATGGGTTGAGCCGTTTTCGAAACCCAGACGGTCAACTAGGCAGACGGAGGACATGTCAAGATCGATTATACATATGTGTTAACTTTATGGGTTCGGAGATGTTTTCTTCTGCTTGCACAAACCTAAGTGTAAAGTAAGAGTTGGGGGATATTTTTTATTCAAATTAGCACTCCAGTTTTTTTTCAAAAAGTAAAAACAAGTTTTTGTTATTTTTCAATATTTCGATTTCAATATTTCGATTTATTTTTCATGAATTTCTTACAATAATTAGCAGCTGCTTTCGTATTTCGTTCTGTATTCATGTTTTGCTGTCTTTGCTTGTCACTTACTTTAGTCATTAACTTTTCGTTATGTAGCTTAATTGTGTCTAAATATGTATTGTTGTTGTTGTTGTGTGTGCGTGTGTGTGTGTGTGTGTGTGTATTGGTGTAGCTATGTCTGAGCGTGTATCTTTTCGTAGTTATAATTTAAATTATTTTTCACATATTTAATTTATAACTTTTACTTAACAATTTAAATACATGCTTTTAACACTTCGTTCGTATTCGATTCCGTTTTATTTTTGCATTAAACTAATAGTTAACGGCTAAATGTTTTACGTTTCGGTTTTATTCTTTTAATAATATTTATTAAACAATTTGCTCATAAAAAATATAAAATAATTACAAATATTTGTATGTATATATATTAGTACATATATATGTAAGTGTATGCTTTATTTAAACATTACATTGAAATGATGTTTGCATATTATGATTTATTTTATTTACAATATTTAGACTAAAAGCAAAACTATTTTTTTCGCTAAGTGCAGGCCATTCAGATGCGCGTAAGAGTTTCTGGCTATAAATGCGATAAAATACACTTAAATAATTCGCGACCATTTTGAAATGTGACTAAAAATGTTGCACAATATTTACATATTTTTTTCAACTTTCATTTTTCATTTTTCTTTCTTTTTGTTTTTCACATTAGGTAACGGTAACAGTGCAGCGTTTTACTTTTAAATACTTAGCATACTTTTAGGCTTTGCATTTGGTTTTAATCAGATGAGAGGCGAACATTTTTCGTTAGTCTGGGAAAACTACCAGCGTTGAATGTCGGAAAAGGGCTTTACTTTTTAGTTAGACATGTGTGCTGCTTATGTTATTCCTTTAGCTAAACTTTCTTTAGATTACTAGTTGAATATTAGCTTAACACTTAGTTTGACGAATTACCTGTTTTCCTTTTCATTTTAGCATTTGTGGCCAATTGACAACAATTGAGTTGTTGTCTAAAATTGAAACTGTGGGCCTTGAATCGCGTTTTCCAGCATATCAATAGCCATTACTTCTTTTTTGACATTTCATTACAAAACACAGATATTTCCTGCAAGCACATTTGTATTTCTTAAGCGAAATCGATGTATGTATATAGAATTGTGTATTCCTTCAATTGCAATTGAAAATATTGCCGACTATGTAAACGAATGAGGAATTTAAAAAATATTATTAAACAATTAGCAGCTTAGCCTGCTGATGCCTGGATTTTAAATTGAAGTATAACTTGCAGTTACGAATAAGTAATAATAATTGCATATTGGATGTTGTAGTTTATTTATAAGAAATGCTTAGAGACCTTTAGGGTTATGCTTAATTTCAGATAAAAATCAACAGTTTTTTGAAATCAGTTAATGCCAAATGCAAGCCGATTGTCAGATAAGAGGAATGTTTTTGAATAAAAAGTGAATGAGATATATGCATTATTGTATTATATCAATTAATTAATAAATTTTGAATGCAATATTTTAAATATTTAATTCACTTTTATATTCTAAAACATGCAATTTATCTTGCAAAAGATTTGGCAAATATTGCAAATAAACTACAAGTACAAGATTCATTTTATTTTCCAAGCAGAAAAGAAAAAACATTTCAGAAAAAACCAAAACTCAAGAAAATAAGGAAATAATTGTATAGTTCATTGAAAACAAAAAGAAATTTTTGAAATTGTATAATTACTTTATTTCATTCAGAGACCTATCTTTAATGCGTTTGAAGGTACATTTAAATACATTTTCTTCCAGTATTGAACGACTCTTTTCTTTTATTTATCCTTGCATCGAGAAATGGCGCTTACATTAAATTTTTGTTTTCATTTATATTAAACATTTAGTTTAGCTTTAGTTCGTTTTTAGTTTTATTTGCTTTAAGCAAGCTTCTAAAAACCCGTTGAGATAGTTTTATTATTTTCAGCATTTTTACTAAAATTTGTTTTCAAATAAAAACAAATCTATTTATTATTGAAAATAGTTTATGGAAATGTTTTTATTTAAGGTAATCTATTTGAAATAATAAGAATAGGTGCTAACATTTAGAATACTGCAAGCTTTTTAAATTGATTTTTTAAAACTGAATTTTTTTCTTAAAATATGAAAACCACCTCAACGTATGTTTAGAATTTTTTAAACATAGTTTACTTTTGTCATAATGTTTGTTAATCGTTTTAATTCTTTATTTAAAATATCTCCCGTAGTCCTTAATGTTTTCCGCTGAATTTTTCAATCAGTTACCTTACATTCTTGCAGCTAATGTTGATGTTGATGATATTTATGCCATTCCTTATTATTATTACTTTGACTGTTTTTATAACAATGTTGCCATTTTAGAAATGAAATTTTGCTATAATTCAGTTGACATTATGTTGACGTTTATGAAACAATAAACGAAATGAATTGTAAATACATGCTATAAATATATCAAATACCTCGTTAGTTCGTATGCGTTATGCTTAATTGTATGTTCTGCTATAGTTTAGTTTTCTTCTTTATCCTTTATGTATAATAATTGCTTCCAAAACATCGTAAAGTCCTCTGCGCATTTGGTTGCTGTTGCTGTTGCTTTTGGTAGGCTCGCTCACCCCATAGAGCTAATGGAATATATATTGGGAGGGCTGGCAGGAGCTGCAGCACTTCTCCTTGTACCGATGCAGCCGACAGAGACCCATGGCCCGAGCATTCCGGCAATAACGCGACGAGTCCCGACAATGCGCGACGTCTGGTGTGTGCACTGTGAAGGCAAGTTGGATTAGACCTAGTGTTCTTAGTCGACTTCTAGGGACTTACTTTTGGACAGGCAGGGCGCACTCTTGCACACCTTCATGACTTCCGGTCGCTGCTGATGTTTGCAGACGTTGCCCGCCGGCCGGCGAGTCCCATACCAGACGCACTGCAGTATGCGGTATTTGATGCCCTGACGTCCACAGGGCGCATTGCACTGCTCACACGCAGAACCCGATGGGAGAACATGAAAAAAAGTAAAACAAACACAAAGTTGAATTTTTCAATTAATATGTAATGCAGCGCTTTAAGAGTTCAGTCAAGAGTGCTGTGCAGCAAATCGCAATTTTATAATTTCTCCATTTCACAACTCTATTTGAAGACCAATCGAGTTGTTGACTTCTCTTTACAATCCCATTTCTTTCAATTGAAACTGTTTAACTTAAGCTAAAAGACTGCAGAAGTGTGAAGAGCTAACATGTAATGACCGACCAATTATAATAAGTTCTTATTGAAAACATGATTTATTTTTAGATTGCTCCTAAAATCTGTTATTATAGATTTCCAAGAACTAATAGAAAAACTAAAATCCGCCTTTAATATATATGTTTTTCATTTATATCAAAGTTGCAAGTGAAAAATATTTTAATTCCCTCTTTCTACAGAAGATTGCAGCTATTTATTATATAAATTTATTTATTATATATATGAATGTATTCCTATTGCAATTTATATTTTCTTGCTTTCTCCTCTTAATGTAGTTGCTGTCTTATTGCAGCTCTTTTCTTCTTTATTGATATCGGCAATGAACTTGCTGCCTTCTTTTGTTAGCACTTCGTATGTAATGTTTTCAGATTTTAATGCGGTCTTTTACTTTAGATAGAAAAGGCAGAAAAAGAATAATTGTTTTTTCGTTTTTTGAAATTTTGTGATTTTCTTGTATTATTTAAAAAAAAAACTATGTGTTGCATTTCTGCATAAAAGTTGTTAAAAGGGTAATAAAAATGTCTTCTATTAAATTTAAATGAACATTTAAAAAAATGATTCCTTGCAGTAAAGCATAATGCGACCCCACATTTATCGCATTCAGTTTGCAAAAAGCCAGTGGTATTCAGAAATTTTAATCATAGCCGTCTATCGGACCGTGTAGGCCAATGGCCGAACTGATCCTGTCTGGTCAAAACTTAAGCTATTTGAGCCAAAAGTGAACATATTTTCAATTCACCAGCTTATTTAGTTCAACCACATCAAATAAACTTAAAGTAAAACTTTGCTGATTTTGCGCATATATATAAATAATTAGTTTAAGCAATACGTTCTAGATATGCCTCATAGACATACGAAGGCATCAGGCATCGGTGCACTCTTATTGAAGCTATCCAGCTGAATTCGATCGATATTGACGTTCGTAATCTTAAGAAATCGCAAGCCATTAATGAATTACCTTAACAGTAATGATTAACATCGATATGTGCTCGCTGCATTTATAAATTCTTAGTGATTGTTTTCATGTCTTTTTATCGATCAATGAATCGTACATTTTAGCACACCAGTTATATACTTGTATATCAATAAAAAAGTGAAATTATTGCAATCACGGTTTCTCTCAACACCATCGCCCCCCCAACACTTACCTCGGACCAGGGCTCCACGCGCCACACGCCCTTGCAGCGTTCGTTATAGCATTCCTGACGCGCCGACGGCTTTTCGTATTCATCGCAGGCGTTGCCCACGCTCCCGTTCTCGTACCGGCACCGCACCTCCCGCCGCTGTATGGCCGTGTTGCGTCCGTGGCAGCGCGACTGGTGGCACAGACTCCAATCGCCCTTCGTCCACTGCGGACAGGGCTCGTTGCCGCAGCTCTGGAACGTGTCAGGCATGTCCAACCCACGGGCGGCGCAGTGCGCATTGTCCACAAGGCTCGAACTCGCAGAGCCGGTGCTGTTGTTGTTGTTGTTGTTCGATGCTGCTGCGGGCTCGCGCAGGCAGCTCAGCGTGCGGCGCTGCGGGGGCAACAAATGAAACATTTTCTTTATTTTTGCCACACAACAACAGCAAAAAGGGAGAAAAAATCGGAGTAATGCGAAGATTGGCAGAAGCCCCCCTTCCCACCAGGCACACACACACACTGGCTGTTAAAATATTTAATCTTGTGCTTGATTTTATGAACCTGGACCGCTGCCCCAGCACTTTGTCCAACACTTAGCCCAGCACTTGGCCCATGTGCATTTGGCTAATTATTGCATAAATGTCCTCCGTTGCTCCGGGGCCGACCATCGTATTGGACATTTTTATGGCCTTTGCTTAGCTAATATGTTTGGGGGAGGACTTCTTCGCCTTCCGACACGTCCGAATCTGTCGGGCTTGGGGCAGAAGTAAATCGTTGACACAACTTGTATGCCTCCCCATGAAGATACTTAAGCTCCACGGACCACTTCAGACGTTGATTTGAACATTTTTCTATCTTGAAACAACATTCCAAGTTTGTTCAGACTGGAAGGCATGTATTTAACGTTCAAAGGTGAAGGAGAGAACGTGAAACCTTACCTACCCAGCTAAGCGAATTTAAGCCAACAATTTAAAACTACAACGGATTTTTCTCTTTTCTATTTTCAATCATAAATTTGCTATCTAACAGCCATAAGTTCCATGAAATATTTGTAATGTAAACATCGATTTAAGCGATAATTAATGCAATTAGATGAAGAAAATAGCTTTGAAATAATTTTGTTATTATTACAAAGCACTAAAACAGCATTATATCAGTGCCTAATAATTAAGCAATGTAAGCACAAAATTAATTAATCTGCCATTTATAAGTATTTACTTAATGCTGTCATTTATTTTTCAGTTTTAATTTTACACATTAGATGTGAAATAGAACTTAACAAACGCTTTTAACTGGATGACGCCACAAAGATGAGAGTTTCAGTTATTAGGCGATTAATAAAGATTAAAGTATTAGATAATACCTTCCTTAGATGGTGTAAGGATATATATGTAACACAGTTTGTTTAATCTAGTAGAAACCTATCAAATATTATCTACAAGTAATACTCTAAAATGCGTTTTTTATGTTTCACCTAAATTGAAATAAATATGCTTAACCTATTCGAAAGCAGTTCTTAATTTTCAATCTGTTTCAAGAGTTCTTCCTGAAGTTGTCAGAATTCCAATTTAAAATCTAGCCGTACTAAATCATTACACACTGCTTTGAGTTCTTTTAAGTTCCATAAACTAATAAATTGTGAACGATGGTACTGACATCTTGAGCTTTAATATTTTTTTTAGCACTTTTCTTTTATTTCAAGCGCATCTCCTCTTTTTGCTTAGCTATTGATAGTATATTCTAGTATATTCCAGACAGCATTATTTTCTTATTTTATTTTTAATTATGTTTCTATAGATTCTCTAAGATTAGCTTTTGGATTTATAGAAAAAAACTTTTCTGTTATTTTTAATTAAGCTGTATTTTTCAAACACAGTTCCGTTTGACGGACGACGCATAACCTCGTGATAGAAAATTGGAGATGGATGCTTGCTGTTCTTCACCACACATGGTTGTTAAAAAGGGCAGAGCTTGGTTCAGAAGTTAATAAGCCCGCCAGCACCGGGTTAAATGCTTTTCAATATCCGACAGCTTTATTGGTACACTTTTAATTCATTAATTTTTTCTCAGTTGTGCATTTAAGTGTCAGGCCAGTTAGTACAATTATACAGCATTTTCTAATCGAGGGCAAAAGCTGCAGAATTAAGAGAAATCCTCAGAGTCTCCATTTCTATGATAAACTATTTGCTGAAATCCTTCAAGTAAAGCGCACGAGAGCTGGACAGGTCAAAAAAGAAAAACTCTCACCTGTGCCAAGCTATTAGAAAGAGTTTGAACTTGCATGCTTAGCTCTCTAAAAGTCGTTGTTATGCCTGACTAGATTATTGATTAATAATAAAGGGAGCTATTAATTGGAAAAATATTTGGTTTCTATCTATTCTTCAGTCTTTTTCAAGTTCCGAGCATATGATTAGGCATTTACTTAGCATGGTCATAACACGCTTTTCTATCAAAATTTTGATGCTCTTAGCATTTGAGGCTTATCTGATATGCAAATGGGGATCGATTTCACCTTGACCCCTTGAGGCATTAATCATGACAACTTTGTGGCTGCTTTCTACATTTTACTGCCACATTAACCTTCTTTGCCACTCACCCTGAGTCCGCTGCCGGCGGCGCCACATTGTTGCGAGCATTTAGACCATTCGCCCAGTTGCCATTTGTAGATGAAGTCATTGCTATTGGCCATCGTCTCCAACTCACTGACCACCAAGCTGGCCGCTGTGCTGGCCAGGAGAGTGTTGGTCGCTGTCGTTGCCGTCTCCCAACGCACGTGCGGCATGTGTGGTGGCATATCCTCTGAGCCGGTTTGGGGGGCGGGGACGCCAGCCAGCAATCGTCCTGCTTCGGTGTGCAGCTCCTTGGTCTGGACACGCGCGGGCTCATCCTGTTCGAAATTTGGCTCCAAATCGACGCCATATTTCATAGCCTCGCCGTGCAGCATGAGCTGGCCGCGTGAGTCCTTGAAACGCTGTAGCGGCAAAAGGAACTGTATGTGTGTGTGTGGGTGTGTGTGGGAGTATGTGGAAAAATGTTAGTTTAAGTGTGGAGAAATGCGCGACTCTTAAAACTACACAGCGTGGCACGGCCGCAGCAGCCGCGCCTGTTGGTATGCTAAGGTAAATTGCCCTCCACACATTGCAACAGTGAGTGTGTGTGTGTGTGTGCGTTTCCGCTTTAATATCGCGTATCGGCATATGCATCGCTCGTGCACATGTACTTGTGTGCGAGTGTGTGTGTGTGTTTCCATGCATGCACACTTGAATTGGCCTCATCAATTGCTTCGCGATGAGTGACTACGACTGCGAAATACGATTAGCCATTGACCTGCATGGATCCTGTGCCCCCTCCTCCCCAGTCCCCCAGTCCCCCAGCCTGGTCAGCCATCCTGACGCTTTCCCACTAATTTTACCCGCATTCTCTCTTCCTCGCCACTGCTGTCCCAGCAGAGCACGAGCATTTAACTTGCAAATTTGGCAAAGCTTTTTAAGCGCTTCGCGGACAATACACTGAGAGAAGCAACTTGGCTATCAAGTGATTTTTTGAAACTGGCTCTGACGATACAGTACTTAGAATTCTTTTAGGCTTATGAGTTTTATTAATGGTAGAATAAGTTTTCTTATTTCTTTACTTTACTTTATTTACTAATATTTACTTGTTCTTTAATTCTTATTCAAATAACAATAGCTGGCCTGAGTTTAAGTAAATTACTCCCAATGAGTCGAGGTCGTTAATTTCATATCGTAAATTCCTACAGCTAGAAATGATTCAATCAAAAATCTTGCCCCAACAGTAGTTAAGCTTATAAGTGAGGCATTAGTTTATAATTGATTCGTTTATATACGATTTAAAACATTTGGTTTCTAAAAACTCGAATCTACTTTTCTGATCAGCGAAACGATCAGTAAATCTATCCCATAAAAGAGTCGCGAATTCCACTTAGATTGTGAGAATTCCAAACGTATCTTATCGTCTTAAGAACTTTATCTGTATTCTGTTCGACTCAGATGAAAATAGCGACCTCAGCCTTATTTGATCAACTATAGAAGCAACCGAAACTTGGAAAGTATGTAAACATTAGGTGCAATTTGTCTCCAATATAGAAAGGAACGTTAATGCTTTCTTTCGTTTAAATATCGCCTGCTAGCTATTACGGTATTGACTGTACGTTGATTACAAATCCGTCAATCAAATTATCGTTTTCCAACTCGCACTCAATTAATACTCGTATTCAAGTCAGGTGACATAATATAAATGACACTGTGTAATCTTTAAACTGTATGAGTAGATTTTTTTCAAACCAACACAAATTTGAGTCCGTTTTGTTGGCCAACATTTTCTAACTGTACGCCCAATTTGAAATCTATCCTGGCCAGCAAATGGCTCGGTCTCTGCCCCAACCAGTTGCCAAAAATTGTACGCCGCTATGCATATGCAGTTGTCAGTTTTTGACTTTTGCAGAGCCCCCATGTCGCCCCTCCGCCCACGCCATTTGTTGTTATTGTCAAACCCCATTGTCTCTGGTAACGGCAGTGCAGGCTGTTTTCTTGTTGTTGTTGTTGTTGTTGTTGTGGATGTCATTGCTGTTGCAGCTGCTGGTCGTTTCTATTTTACAGGCACAACGTGCATCGTGCCGAGTCCTACAAAGATGATTTCCCAAGTGGCACTTGAAACCAGCGACAAATACGATGCTCAGTTTGTTGTTCCTGCAACTGCAACTGCGCTTTTATGTGTGGCAGCTGTTTGTTCGACTGCCTCTGTCTGTGTGTGTGTGTGTGTGTGTGTGCCACTGGGCCGCTGTCTGTGTCTGTGTGTGTATGCTTGCTATTGTCATTTGTAGTCACGCTGTTGCTGCTACTGCTGCTGCCTCTATCGTCCCCACCACCCCCTCCTCAACTAGCTTTTATTGTTGTCACCGCAATCGTTGCCATTGTCGTGCTGCTGCCGACTCCTGTCAATATTGTAACAGCCATGAACCAAACTATACCCGATTTTAAGCACTGCCTGGCAACCGATTTCGTATTGCCTTCTTCTTGTTGTGGTTTTCCATGGCAGCTGTGCTTCTGTCGCAGTTCTAATTAGTTATATAATTTGCCATCAAATGCAACATGGCTTTGAACTTTTGCATGTGGTTATTGTACAAGTAAGCACAAATATGTCTAATTGAACTTATATTTTAAATATACATCTAAATATATAAAGATTTGCCCATCTTCTTAAATCGAAATGCCACCCAAAGCGTTCAGCTTGATAAACTGTTCCATAAATCGCTCAAAAGCGCGGAAAACTATTAGCAAGGCTGCTAGAAATTACGCATTAGCTTTGATCCTTCACATAATTTATACAGCAATGGCAACTGTAGGAACAACCGCAACTAAGGGAAGTCGCATCTTCTTCTATAAACATGGAAAATTACAAATTATGTTATTCTTTTATTATCGAATCGAAGACTTCGTTTTATGAATATTTTTCATATTTTGTCAATAAATATATTTGCCAACTAGAAAGTTTTTAGAAGTGCTTAGATCTTTTAAAGCTTTATATATCTCTCTTCAGCATGTTAGTTTAGTTTTTTTGACAGGTACATAAAACCAATATCTCTTCGAATAACCACTAACGACTATCAAACACAATGTGCACTGGCTTTTAAACTTTACCCTTGAACAAGTCTATTAACGGCTTCACATTAATAGGAACTTCCATAGAATAATAGAAGCCACTAGATAAAATTTTCATTTGCATGAAAGACGCCTGCCTGAACGTACACAGCAATTTCTGTGAATTGTGCCTTGGAGATGCTGCTAATTAAATAATCCATGTAGCTTTTAGGCTCATTTGCATTTAGCACCGACGTCCTTCTGTGCTCCTGCTGGCTGGTCATAAATTTCCAATCCCCCCATTGACTTGCCTCTTTCATGAGGCTCTTAGCTTAGTGCTAATCTCAGCCTCTGCATTTCCATTGCATTGTTGCGGAGCCTGGACTCAAGACCAGCTCGTTAGCAGCCACTTGGCTGGCTAATAAAGCAAGGCTCTGCATCAGCCATTGATTAGATGGCGGACTGCATTCATTGATTACTGGGCTTTTATACATACTCGTACATTGAATTACTACAGATACTCATCTTCTATTCTATTGTATGCTGCCTCCTCTCCACCTCTTCTCCTGCCATCATCCTAATGTACTTTCCATGCAACACTTGTAATTGAACTAATTTGCCTGCGGGTCAGATAGTTCACTAATTAGCTAAGTATAGTGGCCATGTCAAAAAGTTTTCCATTCAGCTGAAAACATAGTACTAGGGGGCAGCGTTCTCACTCACTTTTAACAACAATTTATGGCTGCCTACTACTTGGCCTATTAATTATAATGCGCACTTTTGCTTTGCCTCCTCACATGTGTATATATAGTACCTATATAGTATATATACTTGTATATATATATTTATGTACATGTGTAGGATATTGCAATAATTCGTGAATGGCGCTGAAGCGCGTTAATAAATTTTCACAGGCACAACATATTTCCACATAACTGTCGCCATCATGGCAAGATGCGCTTTGCCTCTTTGTAGTCTGAAGCTATCCTGGCTGTACTGTGGGACAAAACACTTATAATAGTTCAAGGCACTTGGAATTCGAGCCATAACGAAATCAATGTGATTCTTTAATATAGCAATCAAGCAAGAAGTTCTAAAGCGTTTATTGAATGGCCCTATTTGGAATACATTAAGTAGAAACAAAAAATGGAATAAGCTTGAAAACAAATTGAAAATAAATATTTCATATATCATCGATTCAACTTACTAAAAATATTTATCAACAGACACACACATTTCTTAAATCTTACAAATATAGTATAATTTTATAAATAAAACCATAACAATTCATTGGGACCTTTTCGATCCGATATCAGTAAACGGTCGCTCTTATTGGATTTTTAATTTAATTTACTATTCTGCCAACATTAACGGACTTAATACGAATATGTAGTAAGTTTTATAATTTTTGGTCACTTTTGTTATTGAATTAACGAAAATGAAGTTGCTCGTAAAAGTAGAGGACTTATACGACTTAACTTGGAGAGTATTGCTAGTTTCCTGCAATGGACTTTATGGAAAATGTGCCCAAAATGCACTTTTGAACATTTCCTTTACTGCACTAATTAGAAATTCTTCCTTTCTTGTCTACAGGATAACTATCGCAAACAGAAACTCAGGAATATCATTAATTTATTTATCGTCCATTTATATATATCTTGGACCGAAATAGAGGACTCTATGACTCTACTTTATCGAAAACTATTTCCATAAAGATTTTTCAAAATTATTTTCAGAAATATTATAAATTGAGTAAATTTTTATATATCTTGAACCGAAATAGAGGAGTCTATGACTCTGTTTTATCAAAAACTATTTCCATAAAGATTTTTCGAAATTATTTTCAGAAATATCATGAATCAAGTCAATTTATATATATCTAAGACCGAAATGCAGCAGTCTAAAGCTTTACGACAACGATTTCCATAAAGAATTTTTTAAAAAGCCACGATTGGTTTGAAAAATTGTTTTCCTAAAATGAAGAGCATATTTTATTTTGGAAGCGAGCGTCCATCCCATGTGGTTCTGCAATCTCTTGCGTCTCGCTGCCTATTCCAGCTTAGGCTCCACCACTACTGTTCCTGCTCCTGCTCCTGCCTCCTGCTGCTGCTGTTGCTCCTGCATTCCTCATGTTACGCTTGCGATTTATTTGTAGAAGCGAAATGAATGCGCACTTTTGTTGCATTTAATTTGAGTTGCGACTATTTATTAATGTCGAGGCAGGAGGCGAGCAAACAAAACCCGCAGTTGCCGCAGTCGGTTGGTTAGCTATGCGCCCCACTTAAGCTGCATGCAATTCAGTTTTTAATTTTTCTCCATTTGTTGTGCTTTAAATGCTAAATTCATAATGATATGACACAGATTTTAGTTTGTC